GTCTCACACAGCACCCTCGTAGATAAGCTAAGGAATTGTGATCTTGATGATCAGGTAGTGACGTGGATTCTGAACTGGTTGAAAGGAAGAAGTCAGAGAGTTGTAGTCAATGCGACAGAATCTAGTTGGAGGTCTGTGACTAGTGGAGTCCCTCAGGGGTCAGTGCTGGGACCAGTACTGTTCAGTATTTTCATCAATGACCTGGATGAGGGAACAGAGTGTGCCCTCAGCAAGTTTGCTTATGACACTAAACTGGGAGGAGTGGCTGACACACCAGAAGGCTGTGCTGCCATTCAGTGAGACCTGGACAGGCTGGAGAGTTGGGCAGGGAGAAACCTGATGAAATTCAACAAGGGCAAGTGTAGAGTTTTGCATCTGGGGAAGAACAACCCCATGTACCAGTACAGGTTGGGGGCTGACCTGCTGGAGAGCAGTGTAGAAGAAAGGGACTTGGGGGTCCTGCTGGACAGGAAGATGACCATGAGCCAGCAATGTGCCCTTGTGTCTAAGAAGGCCAATGGCATCCTGGGGTGTATTAGAAAGGGTGTGGTTAGTCGGTCAAGGGAGGTTCTCCTCCCCCTCTATTCCGCCTTGGTGAGGCCGCATCTGGAATATTGTGTCCAGTTCTGGGCCGCTCAGTTCAAGGACAGGGAACTGCTTGAAAGAGTCCAGTGCAGAGCCACAAAGATGATTAAGGGAGTGGAACATCTCCCTGATGAGGAAAGGCTGAGGGAGCTGGGTATCTTTAGCTTGGAGAAGAGGAGACTGAGGGGTGACCTCATCAATGTTTACAAATATGTTAAGGGCAAGCGTCAGGAGGATAGAGCCAGGCTTTTTTTCAGTCATGTCTAGTGATAGGACAAGGGGCAATGGGTGCAAACTGGAGCACAGGAGGTCCCACATAAACATCAGAAAAAAATTATTTCCTGTGAGAGTGACAGACCACTGGAACAGGCTGCCCAGAGAGGTTGTGGAGTCTCCTTCGCTGGAGACATTCAAAACCCGCCTGGACACGTTCCTGTGTGATGTGCTCTAGGTGACGCTGCCTGGCAGGGGGGGTGGACTAGATGATCTTTTGAGGTCCCTTCCAACCTCTAAAATTCTGTGATTCTGTGATCAGGTTGGGTGCACAATCCCATCTGGATTGTGCCAGCACAGTGGAGGGAAAGGGGCAGTACAAGATCAGGGCAGAAAAGGGAATGTGGCCATCCATGATCCAGTATTGGCACCAAATGCTTTAAAACAGTAAAACATCACAACTTCCTGCAGGCACATCCAAACATTACCTCTATGCAAATAATTACCTGTAATAAAAGCAGAACTAGAAAAAAATAGTATTCATAACCCACTAAGAAGGAATTCATCAAATACTAACAGTCAAAGTTAGAAACAAGATTCCAATCGGTTAATTCTGAAGTATACATCAACCTGGACCCAGATTTTCTTTGTCACTTGTGAAAGCTCACATCACACCACACAGTCAGTAGCTCTCCAAGCCAAAGCCCATTCTTTGCAGAAAAAATAACAATAATGGTTAGTGGTTCAAGGAACCTCACAGTAACAGACTAGCAGAATGTGAAAAGCAAATGAAAGACTAGGGCAAAGGAAGAGTTTTCAGTTATTCTTTCAAGAGGTGCTTTCAACTCAGTAATAAGCTAAAATAAGTAGGTTTTTGTCCCCTTTAATTTTGAAAAACCTAACATGGGGCTTAAAATAACATTTTTACAATTATAATTTTGTTGTTTGGGTTCTGATTGCCTTTTAAACCTACTATTCATTCAAATATCTGCTTTTTGTTTCCCAACTGACTCAGTCTCTTGGTTATATAAAATTAGTGGTCCTTTTGTCATTCCTGTGCCCTGTTGAAGAACTAGCTCAGCAACATTTTTGTGCTCAAATAAAGCAAGTAAGCCTTATTACTTTGTGCCATGATGTAGTCCTTACACAGACAAAATTAAAGGCGAAATCCCAGTCTCACCAAAGGGAACAGAAACAAATCACACCTTAAATTCAGTAGTGTTAAGATTTGACCTCAGGTTTTTTTTTCCAGAGTCAGGAGTGCCAGACTGAGTCCATCTGGAGCGCCTCCTTTGGCATTCAGCTTGACTTGTGACATGATACATTCAGCAGAGACTTGTGAATAGCGAACTCTTTCTTCTGAAGTCTAACATAATTAAAGTTGAGAACATACACTTACCATGAAATAATGTGCCCTTGTTGAATCTTTAAATGCAGTTCTGCAAAGGACCTTCAGGAATGACACTAAATCAGATAACAACCTGTGCTCCTAATTACATTTCTTGTTATAGTTAACAAGAAAATCACTTCCAACTTCTGAGCATACAGGCTCAAACTGAGATATGAGGAACAAACAGATTAATTTCATTAGCACATGTTGCCATCTCTAATAAAGCTGTAACAGGCCAGATGTTCTCATTTATTCTCCTGAAACTCTGTCTCCCTCTGGTCACACTGTTGTTACACTTTCAGGATGCCAAGAAGGGAAATGTATCTGGCAACTGTCACTGGTTGGAAGTGCAAACAATTTTTCCCTTAACCAAATCAGCTTTGCAGAATTACCAAGAATATAAAACTGTAAAAGCTTACTTCAGTCCTTAAAGAAATCTGATTCACAAAAAAGGAATCTCTGTGTTGAATTAGATGTCAGCTGACATAGTTACTGAACTGATTGCCAGAAGCTGGGAAGTAAGCAACTACCTTTATTTTTTAAACATTTTTTCCCTAATTTTCTGCTAATGGCTCTTACCAGAAGGAAGCTGCTCAGGTAGATGGCCTGAGAGATGAGACCTAGTATGGCAGTGTCTGTGGTTTTGGATAGATGCATACTTTTATTAGCGTTATAGGCCACTATCAATTAGATCATCAGATTATGATAATCATAATTTACTGCTATGGTGCCTGAATTGGTGTCTGTGGCAGTATCTTAATATGCTTTAACTCTTTTTCTTGACACCATGCATGCTTAAACTCCAGCTCTTGAAAAGCTGTATAAATGTTACAGGGCACTGATATTAATGTTTAAATTAATGGCAGTGGGAGTCTTCAAAGTACATCACCGAGTACCTGAAAATAACTTCACTTTTAACAAATCAAGATAAATGTATGGGAAAGGGTAAGAAACTTCCTTTAACTAATTTCTCAGTATAAGACATAATGCAAAATAACTAGTCAGAGAATACTTGAAGAAAAAGGAATCAAGATTCACTTCTCAGGTGATGAAGATGTGTAGCTGAGATCTCTAAAAACTCCCTAGCCTGAGCCTGCTTAAATCTATTGCTAACCAAAGCCAAGTCTGAGAAATCACAAACATATGACAGTTTTCCTTCCTGCTGCTAGAAAGTCTGCCTAATCTCCCAGCAAGTGGTCCCATTTGGCTCATTCTCAAAGCCTGAAAGAGATCCCAGTTTCCTATAGCTTAATATAATTTGTGTGTCAGTTCAGTGAACAGAGGCATTACAAGAAATCTCCTGGCATGCTTACACCTTTACAAGCAGGCATATATTTTAAATAAACCAAGCAGCAAGGCACAGATCAGGTACTATTCCTGTGTTTTTTATCAGGATGACTAGCCCATTCCCTCATCACAGTGTTGAAAGTGAGTGCTCCTATTCTACAGTGGTCATTATTTTCTATGAATCCACAGATCCCCATGCTGAGCAGTACACATGAATCCTCTACCTTACAGATCAGCCAGGAGCTCCAGTCATTTCAAACAACACTAGATCAAGCCACATGAGATGAAGGTGTGGGTAAGAGGCCATTAGGATTACTTCTGTTTCTCCTATAGTTGCTTCATGCCTTTTTAAACTTGCCTTAGTTAACTTCGTTCTTTAAACTTGACTTCATTAAATTCATTCTGGAACATAAAAATTGCTCTGTTTCCAGTGATCTGGAAGTGGCTCTTTTCAGGCCAGCAATGTTTTTGCCTTCAGGCATTTACTAGAGCTGGAATAGGAAGCAGTTCTTACAGCTTTTAGAGATTGTTTTATGAACATGCTCAGTGAGTTTGTTCGATGGGATTCAAACCACACTTCCACTGTGCCAATGTTTGTTTTTTCAAGCAAAAAAGGTTTGTAAATAATGGCCCCAGAGTATTATCAGACAAATCAGTGTTCTGTTTTAAACATAAAACAAACAGATGCCATGACCCTTATGTATCTAAATAACTGCAAAGTAGTGAGTGGTAGTGCTCTTTACAGTACTCAGTGATATTTGAGCTATGACAGTAAATGCAACTATTTGGTAATTACATAATTGCATAATGTTTACCTTATGCAATTCTTTATGTTCAAATGCAGAATTGTGTTTGCATAAAGCAGATCACACAATGAAATCCAGCCAGGAATCACTGTCAATGGTGCAAGCAGCAGTTCCTTGTAGTGCTTGTGACATTGGTTGGAGAGTATATATGAGGCAGCTAGAGCAACCAGAGCAAACAGCAGCAGGTTATAAAGGGATCTTGTGCACCAAGAGCAAAGACCTGGGAATCAGGAAGAGTGGATTCTCTTACAGGGGCTGCAGTAAAATTACTGTGTAAGTCAAGGAAACCATCAGACCTACAGTCAAAATTAAGCCAGTCAGGCTGAAGTATGAAGCATTGTTTTTAATGTCTTTAATTCAGTTAAGTCCTAATCTGTGATAGAAGTCTCATGAAACTGTTGTAGAAATTAATCTAATAATTAATAATAAAAGGAATAATTGAAAAATCAGGCAGTGAATTAGTTGTTTCTGATATATAGCAGAGCTGTTTGGTTTTTTTTATTCTAACCTATGTTTGTACTTTCCTCTTTATCATGTCGACGTTTACAAGCAATAAAAGGGCATTATGTGCTGGTCATTGCATCTGCTTTGTAGATAAATCTATGTTAGCGTTCCAAAAGGTCAAGGAACTTGTCCAGGGCAAACAAATTCTGGAGCACTGATGCCACATGGTGTGTATATAAAGTGCAAAATGAGAAAAGCAATTTGCTGTGTTCCTGTTCCAGGGAGAACTATCACAGGACAGCAAAAGAGGTGAGAAACTGGAAAGAGTTTTCTTCTTCAGTAACATGTTTTCTTTATATCTGAAAAGTCTAGGTACATAGAGGAACTTCAGTCCTTATTCAGCCAAAATTATTCTAAAAATACAACAGGAATATTTAACTAAAGAATGAAAGGTTAAATTAATAGCACGTATAAATAATTTTACATTGAATTATGTAGCAGGTTCTGGATTTATCTATATAGCTCACTAATATGTAGTCTGTGTTTAAAGAAATTTTACTTTCACAGCCAAAACATTTTCATCTTAGGTATTTGACCAAACTCTACAGAAGGCAGAAAATAATGCATCAGATTCTTAAGTATAAACTATCATAGCTTTAACAGAATTAAGTTATCACTGTAATTTATCCAGCTTAGGTGCTGACAACGACTAGCTCACTTGCAGCTGTATTAAACATGTAATTTCCAAGTGTGCAGCACAACTCTGCATGTTTTAGAACTGATCAATCTTTTCGTCAACTTTAGTGAAGCAAGGGAATGTCTCTTGGAAGGGTTCAAAGATAAATTCAGGTTGGTTTAAGAAATTTTAAATAATTTCATAAATATTGAAAAATATGACATTTTCATAAATTGCGTAAACTATTGAAGGCTTTTATCACCTGCCACCAAACCTCAAAAATATGTAGCAGAAGAATAAGTGTTCAGCTATAAGCAAGGAGAATGAGAGAATGTGTGTCTTAATATTTGTGTGCATCTTTGCTGAGCATATTTTATTTGATTATATATGTAGCTTTTGTTAAGCAGTCCTTCCTTTTAACACTATGTCTTCTCCCAGACAAAAAGGATATAAATAGACTTTTCTCCATACAGGAAAAAGTACAATGCTGAGGTTTGCTGTCACCCTCTTTGCTGTCGTTACATCATCTACCTGCCAAAAATATGGATGTCTGGAAGGGAGCACCCACAAACTGAAGCCAAGTCCGGAGGCAAATATGCATGAATGTGCTCTATATTCTGAATGTAAGAGTGGTTTAATTTTTGCCAAATATAATCTAGAAGTACCCCTTTGTATTCACTGTTTTGGCAGTTCCCTTAATTTCTCAAAAATATGTCAGGTCCAGTATAAATTGCATTTGAAAAGCTCCACTTTGCTGCATGCAAACCAAGAGTAAGATTCTGGTTAACAAACTTAACTGCAAAAGTCTTTTTTACCTCATTTATTATCTTTTAAAAAAATCTGATGCAGTTCACTTTTCTTGTAGTTCCATCTGCTTTTTAAAGTTTAGAGCAAAAATGTATTTGGCATATTGTGATTAAGTATAAAAATTAATTAATTGTAGCAGACACCAACTGGGGAAGGTTAAAATCAAAATTCTAGAGTGAGTAAAGTATAGTATTCATAACATCTCTTCAACTTTTGTGTGTGTGTGTTTGGTAGCTTTCAAAGTTAGTATATATCCCTCAGGGTGTAACATCTGGCAGAACTGGGGCTCTCTGGGCACACCTTGACAAAGCACGGTTAATACCAGTCCAGCTCACCTAGCATTTACACTGCTACTTCCAAAACCAAAAATGTTAGAGCTAGAGTATATCCTACAGTTAGTACTAAGATACTTCATCTTGTTATGGACCAAAACAGATTTATCTCACATCTTGAGTCTTCCAAATACAGTATTAAAGAAAATCCTTATTGCAAGATTTCTGTTTCGTTTTTATCAGCTTCCTGTTGCCATGCGGACTTCACAGAGCAATTGGCTCATTCCCCAGTAATTAAAATAAACAACAGCTACTGGAACAGATGTGGGCAGCTCAGTCAATCGTAAGTCATCTTTCATGTTCTCTGTGTCCTGGTTCAACAGATCTATGCTGTAGCAGCCACACACCTAGGGGTAACTCCCCATGGAGCTGCTGATGGACAGTCCCTAAGTTGCCCTAGAGATGATGCCACACAGTCTAGTTCCCATAATCTTTTCTCTGTACCTGACCAACACCTCAACCTCTGGCTCTTTTCCTCTCACAAAAGCCCATGAATCCTAAGGATTCATGCCCTTTTATCAAGAAAGGGTTGTATTTTTTCAAGTTTGCTTTCAGTATGGGACCAGACTGAGCAATGCAAAGAAGCCATAAACCCAGTAGGTAACAACCACACCTCTATAGCGCTCCAAAGCAACCATCACATACCAGTGAGGGTGACCCCTAGTGAGCACAGAGCAGGCTTCTTCCTTTGTTTAGAAAGCAGATCAACTAGATGATTACATCTTACAAACAGAACACTCACAAGGCCAGAAACTAAACTTCTGAATATTTAGAATAAAAATTCTTGTAGTCCTGTGGGGTTTGTAACCATGAAGAATGTCTTCGTAATTACAATTTTTAGTACTGCGTTAGATGTTAGAGCTGTGAAACATGGCCAGTTATAGAAATCAAAGAATGAAAGTACAAAACAATTAAGCAAAAACAGATGTGCAAAAGTAACAGCTATTGCCTGCCACTCTCAGAAGAGCAGCACCAGTTTGCATTTTTAAGTAACTTCAGCTGGGCTATGAGAAAATCTAAAGACTAGTGAAATCATGAGGCTACAGTACAGGAGTTTTGTGCTATAGTTTTAACCTACATTTTATTATTGCCTGAAATCATTCCTGCCAGGAAAACTCAAGGCTTCAAAAGTTTATGGAAAGCTTACACAAATAGGGCTGAAATATGCATGGAAACATTTCTGTACTCCTTAGCTGGTTATGGTGATTGCACAGTTGGAGCCTGTACACGATGCCAAAGGAATGAGCTTGGAACCTAAACATAATCTGAGCAAAAGGATGCTTTTCTATGTTTTCCTCCTGACCTGTAGTATTGCATCAACATCAAAGCAGGCCTAGAAAGCTGAGCCTTGATGCTGAGAAACAGGCTTATTTGTGGCTTTTGTCACCCACCACAGCTGTGAAGATTTCACAAAGAAAATCGAGTGCTTTTACCGGTGTTCTCCACATGCCACTCGCTGGATCCATCCCAACCACACTGCTGCTATTCAGTCCGTTCCCTTGTGCGAAAGCTTTTGTGATGACTGGTAGGTTTACCTTTTTATCCAGGTTTTTCTAATATGCCTGTTGTTAAGGACCGTGAGCCCGAATCTCCCAATCAAGTGGCACTAAAATTCAATGGTCTTGCACCGCCTTTATGTCTTTTCTCTTGTTGTTCTTCATTTCTTGTTTGCCATCTCTACTTTTTCCTCCACTCAACCTTCCCCAAAATAATAATGACAGGAGCTGAAGGAAGAATGGAGTCACTAAACTCTGACAGAGCTCAGTGTCTCAGGGACAGCACTGTCCTGCTCGCCATGAGGATGCAGTGCAGTGGCAGCAGAACCGCCTGATGTGCCAAAGGACCTCTCACTACCTTGGCAAGCACTAGCAGTAGGGAGGATCTGCCCCCCCTTTGAGAAGTCCAAGTCTCTGAGTCAGCATTTATGCAGTTAGCATCTTAAATCTAAATACTTGATCATAATATATCTCTTTTGTATGTATAAAAGACACTAGAAGATCATTAAAGCAGCCACTTCCTGTATGTTTTTTATTAATTCATCCAACAAATTAGCTAAATTCCTTGATTTTTCACCCTTGGCATTTCCCTTCCATCATCCCTGTCTCTAAAATCACTTTTAAAAGTCTGATTCTCAGAGAAACCTCCAGCTAAGTAATGCTAAAAATATTAGGAGCAATGACCAAGCATCATGGCATTTAATTTTGTTTTCCAAAATACACTATCAGGGAATCACATTACTTTTGAGTGCAAGGTATGCAATGGGACAACCCAGCACCTGTCTTTCCTGTCTTGGGGTAGGAGTATTATACCCAGGTGGGGTACTGAGATTTTTTTTTTCCGTGGTCCATATCCAGCACACTTCGCCTTTCCCTCCCTTCTTCCCTGTTTTGAGATGTTGGATCTTAAATCATGTGATAACGTGACGTATCTGTCTCAGTCAGTGCCACATGAATGTTGAGCCCAGTAACGTCAGTAACTTGTCTGTGTGGTTAGATTGGTGTGAAGCGTAAGTACACACAACACAGGCTGTGAATGTCTGAATCCCTTAGGCTGCTCTGAAAATCACAGAAAAGTGGTTTAATACTTCTAAAAAATGTTATAAAATAGCGCTTTTTTTGGAAGCAAAGAAAACACAGAACATGTGGTAACACACATTAGGTTCTCTCCGTGAGGTGTTTTCCCTAGTGGTTACACAGCTTGAATATTATTGACCCATGGGTTCATTTTCACTCTCATCTGCTCTCCAAGGTCCAAGTCATGTATGCAGGGCAACTTTTTGCTAGGATTTTTCTTTAAATATGTCTCCATTGGTTTGTGGCAGAGAAGGAAATAAGCAGCACAGATTGCATTTGTAATGGAAGACAGTAAGAAGGACTGATGTGTTTCTCAGCTTCCCTAGAGCTTCCTCTAGTGATGAATTTCCTTTCTGTGTTAGTAAATTCCATATGCCTCAGGAACAGATTTGCCATGTGCAGTCTTCCTAAATTTTTTGTAATCTTCTAAGCTGAATCCAGATTATTGACCTCCTTGAATATAAAGACAGACCTTGAATTTGCCTCAGTACTCAGAATCTCAAAGGTCAGAACCAAATATTACCAAAATTTGAAAGCATTTGGATAGTGAAGAGATGCCACTGAGCTTCAGAATAGATCTAACAGGCAAAGCAATAGGATACCAATATTAAAACAAATGTATCCCAAAATAAGTAGCACACAAAGACATCACTCAACTGCCATATCCAGTGAAAGTGTAAAGACAAAGGAAAATATACACTATAAGTTTAGTTTGCATCCTTGAACTGGTTTAAGTCAGCCTTGGCATATATGAAATTTATACCAAAGTGTATATACTACGTCAACATTACATAGCAAAACCCTCCAAGTCCCCAGGGTATTGCCAGAACCTCCAGGTAAATGGTATTTTTAACTTTTGTTGTTGGGGAGTCTAGGTGTGTGTGACTGAGAGCTGCTGGTCAGGAAAAAATGGACCCTTTCCCAGCATAGAGTCTCCTGGCAGAGAGCAGGCTGTACTCTAAACAAGCACTGAACAATGATCTATTGCCCCTGTTGGCGTCAGAGATGCCTGGCCTGAATCAAAAATGTAATGATGACCCATTACCATGCATGCTAGCTTGTGTGCCTGCCTAATGCCAATGTCAAACCTATTCCCTCACCCTGCTTAAGGCCTGAGGCTAGAAAAGAGCCTGGACAGAATTCCCACTCTTTCTGGTGATTTAAATTAACATTTTTTCATGTTCTATTCACTGGAGTCCCTTTAGCGTGCAGTAGCACTGCTAGTGATGTGACCTACTTTCTCTACATGCCGTGAGTGCCACGTCTGCTGCATATTGTATGTCTTTGTGGCCAGAAATGTGCAGAGGATTCTGAAGGAGCAGTGACTTCATTTCAAATAAATCCATCTGACTAGCTTGAGGCCTTCCTTTTCTTCCTATTGTCTTAGGATTCCTTGCTCCCACTAGCCCTAAAACTATTGCTTTTGAAAGAGTGCGATGTACAAGCCATTTTCTGATCCACCTGTGAAAGGCCCCTGTGCCCTTTCAAAAAGAAACAGCCAAATCTAAAAAATGGAGGGGGGGAAGAAAAGCTTTAAAAAAATATCCTGCCCATAGTGCATAGGAAAGCAGTGTGTTCGGGAAGTATGTTTTAAGTATTTATGTTTATGTTTCTCACACGTTTCAATTGATGTTTGAAGAAATCACTTACAGGTTTGCAGACAGCAGAAATCAGACTTTTCATAAGTCTTAGCTTTTCATAAACTTAGCTTCATAATTACTTCCATTGGGATAAAGAAAAGCTCTTTACAATAGAGCTATGCCTTGCTACCTGCATATATAACAACAGGCAATAATCATAACTAGGAAACATCTCATCTGACAACTCAATAGATAATAATTAATAAAAATAGAAATACTTTCATAAACATCTTTAATTCAGACTCCTGAGGAAAACAGATGCATAGCATGAATGCCCCAGTTCAGCAGAACTGTGAAATACATATTAATAATTTGAAAAGTATAACTGAAGGTGACACTAATTTCAGAAGAAGCAGTCCTGCCCTCTCTCAGCCCCAGGGGCTGCTCATTGCCCATTTCTGACTGCAAATTCATGGATGAACATGAGAATACATGTCCCCTGCCCCAGAGCTGTTTAGTTCAGGCCCTGATTACCCTCCACCTGTTACTGCTCTTTCTCCCTCCAAAAAACCCAGAAAGCCCATGTGAAGGTTCTGCAGTTGTGCATGTCCTTACCTTTCTGCATGTGGAAATGCATTGCAATGTCTACCTAGTTCTTGTAGCTCTGTGACCACATGACAATCTCATATTTCATTTTAAAATGTACATCTGCAGCCCTCGTGATAGTAAAGTAGTTTTGAAAACATAACCCTGAAGATTAAAAGTTACAAAATATATCTAAGGGCATTAATTATAAATGCCATGCTGAACTGCACTAAATTTTTGAAAGCTGTGCCTCATGGTTTTGGCACTCAGTTACCTGTGTGAATAGTTTGCCTGAAGCCACTGAGACTAAATTTAAGTAGATGTTAACTGATCTGCAGAAAGTGATCCTTAAGAAGAGTAAGAGCCAAAAAGTAGAACACAAAAAGAAGTGGAAGGAAATGATGTAGGATAAAGGAAAGTCATGAGATCTTTCAGGTCATAGGCCTGCCCATTGCATACCATATTCGTTCCAGGCCATTTATAGGCTTCTTTTTACATTACCACTTACAAGTTAAAAATAACTTATATTTAACATTTTGGACTCTATGCCCTACAAGACTGTTACCTTTCCTGCTTCACTTCAAGTTCAACTTCTTTGAAAACATTGTTCTGAGGCTGATAGCCTAGTAGTTTATGTGAATTTGTTATTATGGATTTTCCTTATTTTAGTGAACGTCCCTCATAGCAATTCCTTGCCCAGAAAATATCTTTCTTCCTTTCCAATATTAATTAATAAACACAAACTTTCCCCACTTCTCCCTCAAGTGACAGTTCACTCTTAGCCTTCCTGTGCTGTCACAATATTGAACAGCAGCATTCATGAAACTCCCTCCCACAGTTTCCTCCACTTGGTAACATCAGCCAACATAACCAAGCAGCAAACACTGCCTGAATGAGGGTTGCTCCCCAGAACATGAGGCCTTTAGTTAAGCCTGTGAGTATAAAATGTGGTGGGTGAACTGTTTAGTTTTCATTCGGATTTAGGTCTTCCAGGCCAGCTCAGAGTTTATGTATATGTCAAGCTAAGATAATGTGCACATTTCTTGAAGATCTGTTGCTAAGCTGCACTGTGCAACTATGCACCATTACTAGCATAGCCCACGTAGACTATCTGAGTTGAATCTGAGTCCACTGAAAAAAAAAAGATAAAAATAACTGTACCTTCCACACTAATCTCCATGAAGGTATGAAGCCTGCAAAGATGATTCCATATGTGTTCGTAACTGGCTGACAGACTGGGAATGGGATGAAAATGGAGTAAACCACTGTAAGAACAAATGTATTCCATACAGTGAGGTAAGAAAACTTGGTCAACTGGAGCAGAAAAAAATGGCAGTAAGACTTTTGGGTTTTTTTCTTTTTTTTCCCCTGAATATATGGGTGTAAAATGCTATCAGATTAATTATTTTTGCTTCAGCAAAAAGCCATGCCTAGATCAAACTTTTAAAGTACATACATTTTAAAACATTTATATTTATGTAGATCACTTACTCTAAGTATAGATACATGTAATTAATCACTGTTCATGTAACTTGTGAGACAGATTTCAAGCAGGATTGGTATTTTAACCATTGTAGAGTTTATAAAGTAAAACATGTATGAGCTTTGTTCATACAACAGAGACACTGAGATGCATTTTATAAGGTTCCTTACATAATGTGAGGCTTTACACACCACTGTAAATGTGCAAAAGTGTATAAAATGCAAACTGACAAGACTTACAGGAGCAAGGTTGCCTGGAACCTGATCTACCGACCTTTCAAGAGTCAGGTAGGACTTTTTGCAGTGAGTCAACTAAGTTTAGCATCAGGACAATATAATACAGCTCTAAACTGCAAAACTTACTTGAATATTTTTAACAGTTGAACTTCACTGAGTCCATGAAAACTGTCCAAATTGCAGAAGTAAATTAAATTTAACTGTAGTGCTTAGGGACTAGTAGTAAGGCTTACAGAGATCCCTGATTCATTCTTTTGAATTCAGTTCAAGTGCATGTGCTTCCAGAAGTCAGTTCAGCAATTGATATAAGTGGAAGTCACAGTCCAGTGAGTGCAGGATTGCTGTCTGCCTTGCAAGGGTGACACTGATCAGCAGACTCAGGAAGGTGGCCAAAAAACAAATGAGCTGTGGAAACTTATAGCTTAGTTTTCCAGATGTGCTAAATCATCAGTAGTTCCAGATGAAGTGAAAAATGAAATTATAATATCTGTAAACAATCCCCAGTCCCTGTTCAAGCTCTCCCTGGTCCAGAGATAGGAGTTTTTTACCTTGAATTCCCTTGTACTTATTTCTTGAAGAAAATACACCATCTGCAGGGAAAAACATGCAGCAAATCCAGAGGTCTTATCACTTGAAGCCAGGCGCAGCTATTGCTATACTACATGGAACCACACCCTAAACTGCCCATGTTTTTCACCAAAAATAGGCTTGCATGGTAAGTAAGAATAAAGATGAAGCTTCTTCAGAGAAATTGAAAAAAACACATTTCCTATATGAAAATTACATGATATACAAACACTAGCCTCGCTTGGTTTGGACTCAACTCATGGAAAAGAAAGTTGCTGTTACCCAGAAGCACCAAGGGTTCTCCAGTGTCAGCTCACTCTCAGCCCATATGGAGAAGCAATCAGCAGCCCTACATTTGACATATCGAGTGGCTGTGAGGACTATTTGGAACAAATGCTGAATATTAAGAATGCACAATGGATCGTAGCCACTTTTAGCCTGGCTAAAACGAGACACATTTTGTCATTGTTCTTCCAGCTGAGTGCTCCCCAAGCAATGTTAATGCACAGACTAGAACATTTCCAAGAAGATGAAGAATCAGAATCCTTTAATTTAGGGGCATGTTTAGTAAACATGCTGTGTGCATTTTTTGTTTGCTGTAGCATTCTGGCTGTGCTCTGACCTTTAAGCAGAATTAGGAAGAAGGTCAAAATAAAATCACTAATTTATTAAGCAAAAGAGCATGAAAACATGGTACAGAACCTGTGGGACACAAGAATTGAATATAGCCATGTCTGTTGCATGACAGACCAAAAAAATCCCACATGACAATTTTAATACTTCCTGGACTGATTGATTAAAAGCAGGTAGAAATCCAGGAACTGTACAGGAACTGGAACTGGAAGAAAATGTCTAATGCTGCTTAAAAGCATAGGAATAGTGGAAAAGAAACAGCTGACATCTGACCGCCCTGAGAACTAGATGCAGCAACCTTTTCATTTCTGACCCTGCATTGCTCCCAGTGTACTAGCCAATCTCCACACTCCTCCTCCAACTACTGCAGCATCCATCAGCAAGCCCTGGCTAGAGATGGTGTGAGCTGAAAAGCTGTTTTACAGACTAGAGAGCCTTTGGGGCTATTTGGAATAGAGTATGAATAGTGTGAATAATATATTCACAAAGGATACATTTCTAAGGCAAAAGTTGTTGTTGCTATTATTATTTCTCCTCATCTGCCTTCCTGCACAGGACAACATAGTTTTGCATGCTGGGAGACAGAGAGACATCTCATAAGAAGATCTTGCTGTGGAAAATAGGTGGAGTCCTACTTCCACGTAATAGACTTAAATCTGTAATTTTAAATATATTTTTTTTACACACAGAGAAGCTTACATGTAGAAATCTCCCATCCACAGAGCACTTTCTCCAAGATTCACAGCATCAGATTTTCATGTGAGCTGACAATGGCCATAAACCAGGACACTATCCAGAAATTACAGCACTAAGAGAAACACTGTAGGATTATAGAACCAGCATCATGTGCAAGGACTCCTTGTACTACTACAGATGAAATACAGCTCCTTTCAGAGAAATGCTGATGACATGGTCAAGGTGAATCTGTCAGCAATGGAGCCCAGCAGTCCTGCTATCTGATCCACTGTTTCAGTCATTAATACTCCCACTCCTTAATTCCCAAGGCTTCTGCTCCTGCCATCACTCCTACCCCCAACTTCATTCTTAGCTTTGCTTCCAGGAGTACCTAAACTTTCCTTTACAGAAACAGAAAAGATTATACTTTAACCACAAACACATGGAGAAATGAGGCAAGATAACAATTATGTCCTGCCTACTTTGGGGCTGGACATGGTATCTCCTAAGCTAATGCTCATTAGGCAAACTCAAGCTGGGCAGACAGAAGGTTGTCACAATGTGAGCTGGGCAAACAAATACCTTTGTTGTGTGATTGTACAGATCTTATGGCACAGGCTTTACAAAATTACTTAGTACCAAGAACAGGGCATGTTCACTTGAAGACAGTACAAGAAGTTTCAGTTTACAATTTCTTGAGCCAGAAAGGCCACTGCTCTGCTGGACACAGAACTTAGGAAGCTTGAAGAAAACTCCTAAGTTACATCCCTTTTTTTTGTGAGGTCTTGCCCAGTCATGATGTACACTGCAGCATGCACAGTGAGATCCCACAGAACTGTGACGCCACTGGGCTGCCTCTAACCTGTAGATATAGGAAGATTCCCATATTCAAAACACTCCGTCTGGCACCTTCAGCACCCCTCAGATCCTGAGATATGTCAGAGTGTCCTGGCATGCTACAAGTTGTACACACACAGCTTTGGTCTGTCAGACCCAGAAAGCTAGCTGGGCTGCCAGCCCCAGGGTGGAAACAAAGGGCTGGCTGTTGATCACTTTGCACTTTGTGCAATCACTTGCTCTCACAACAGGCAAATCTCTTTTACCAGCAGTGGGACTGGATAACATTTCAAGATATCTCAGAAGTGACGAAGCATGGCACACAGAAAGACAGTGGATAACTGCAGGCTGTGTTGTTTTTTTAACTTAGTGCCAATTTTTTTAAGGTTATAAATATTTATCGATTTAATACAAAGAGATTTAAACTCAATTATTTTAAAATGTAATTGATGCATTTCTTATTTGACACACAGATGTATGCAAATGGTACTGACATGTGCCAGAATATGTGGGGGGAGTCATTTAAGGTGAGCGAATCCTCCTGCCTCTGCTTGCAAATGAACAAGAAGGACACGATGGCACTGAAGTATCTCCTCTCTGAGAGCTCAGAGGAAAGCTCCAGCATCAGCAGCAGTGAGGAGCATGCCTGCCAAAAGAAACTCCTGAAGTTTGAGAAACTACAGGGAGAGGACGGGGAACAGACAAGATAAATGCTGGTGGATGTATGTCAGGAAAAGAGAAATCTTCATGGAGGCTGGGCTCAGGGAATCACGCCAGCCTGCTTTATGCCTTACTTCCTAGAACATAATAAATCAATGGCTGGTTATATTAATCTTTCTCTGATGTTTTTGCATCTGCATCACAAAGCTCCCAGACAGGTTAGCACAGGTGTAATCTTGTGACTTGAAATGAACAGCTAGAAGCCTGAAGGTAACATCTAGGGGTTGACTTTCAAAGAGGAGAGGCACAGGCAGCTCCTGCTCATTTAAGGTGGAACAGTGAGAACTAGAAACCTTTGGAAAGCCCTGCCAGTCATGAACCAAATCTTCAACCCAAACCTTTCATTAGCACAGACACACAGCACTCCTGTCACAAGTTCCTCTGTGCCAGGCTCTTCTCAGGTAGAGAAGAAATGCTGCAGTCAGAAATAGGTCAGTGAGCCTCGCTACTGACCACTGAAAATGTATTTATGTTGCATCTCAAAAAGATACTTGTAAAAGAGAAGAATGTGGTGTACTAGATAAATCCCTGGATCCATTATTGCTTGTGAACAGTACTCACAATCTGTTGTACTGGGTTTTCATTTTAAACACCAGCAGCACAAAAGTCTCCTATAATATGAGTTCGAAGCATAATTTTGAGTGCAATTAATCCCACTGAATGATTCCAAACAGAATGTTCTCTGACAAACAGAAGTCCCAGGGAGGACCCCAATTAGGTTTCTTCAATCAGTAATTCTACTTCCCAGCATCACCGTTACAGTCAAAGTAAACTCAAAATTTGCACCAGTCCCAGAGGGACTTGTGAGCTAAGGCTGAATGAAATCCTGCTTTCACTTATGCATCTATAGATCCTCTGCATTTGCTGCAGAGTGGATAGGTCTGTGCCATTCTGTACGGCCTTTCATAGTGGTATCACCAGGGAAACCATGAGAAGGCTTTAATTTGGGGGGTCAGATTACCAAATTGTGAAAATCAGCATAATCTTAGTGCTTGCTATGGAGCTAGGCACCTTATAGCTCTTAAGGATCTGGCCCACAGTTAAAACAATGACTTGGCACACCCTATTGCACTAGGAGAATCTTAAAAATCCAGAACACCTTCTTCACTAGGCTGTTTATTTATTTTAATGGTTTCACACAGCTGCAATTTTAATGCTAGACCCATTAGGTCATGCTCTTCCAACCAGCTTCTCAGTATATTTAACAATTGACCAATTCCTACCAGCACTGAATTGTATTTCTGTATTCCTACCAGCACAGGATTGTATTTTGCCACATCTGTATTTTATGCTAACTCAATTTGTCAGTTCTACTTTTTGAAAAGAAAGAACAAGAATTTGGTCCTCTGTAAAGTTCTGACAGTCCCTTTCTCCCTATTTCACAAACTCTGCTCTGTTTTGTCCTTCTTTATTCCACCTTAATTAGAGCAGAATTTTTCCTGCTTTTTATTTTGCTATGCTCAGAATTGAATAATGAATTATCCCCCTCTCACTGCCATAACACCAACTTTTTCTATATCACCATGGCCAAAAGATTTCCTTCATGTTCTTTGTTAAGTATAGCACAACTGTTTCTGCTTGTGTCTCTGCTCTTTTTCTTCCCATTCCACTTTATTTGCTGCTCTGGCTAAATTACTCTTGAAACCACACTCAACAAACAAATCTTCAATTCTTAGTTTCAGGAACCCATGAGACAGGTTATTGCATGTAGCAGCACTGGATCCTACAGCAACTAAGGGACAAAGACTGTTTAGCTCCTACTGGTAACACTCCCACTGACTCATTATGTACCCTAAGCAAACCATTTAACTCTTTTGTGACCCCATAAATTGTGCACAGCTACTGTATTTCCACTAGGTCTTCTCTTTTCTAAGCCAAAAAGTCAAGAACTACTCAGTTGTCCCTAGCATAGAAATTGTCCCATACATCTTGATCATTCCTTCATTGATCCAGCAATGTTTTATTCAATTACAAGTTACCATGCAGGAAGACTTTTGGTCTTGATTTAAAACTCAAAATAATGGAGAATTGTCCAATGCACCTGGTAATTTGTTTCCTCAATCTTAAAGATTATCAGTAATTTAACATTTGTTCTTTCAGCTTTCAGCCATTGGTCTTTGCTAAAGCCTGTTTTATTAAAGAGCTCTTCAGTATTCAGCATTGCTTTTCTGCTCTGCAGCCTATACACGGGATCAAATTGCTTCTTAGCAACTGGCTCTACCTCAGCTCTATATATGTCATTATAAGACATTTCCTCTCCACTTAAATCTTACTTATGGTTCTTCTTTGTACCTTCTCCAGTCATAAATATCCTCCCTAAATCCTACAAATCAAAGCCATGGCAGTATTAAGGGTGATGTACAGAGAGAGCACCTTGTCCCTGCCTCTCTACTCACTTCTCCCTCATTGCACTGCCCCTGTCTACAAAAGCATCATTCTAATTCTTTGCATGCCTTCAGCGTCCATATGTTATGATTCTTCATTTTTTCTTGGTGTTACTCTTTTCCACTATACAGCTCCCTGGTCCAAGAGGTGTGGACTGTGATCTTAGCTCTTAGGCTTATTGCTTGGCACTTGATTGTGTTACAAAACTTTCATGTAAATAGACCAGCCTTCCAAAGCCACTGCTTGCTGTGTCTCGCTGCTTTATACTCACAGTAACTTAACTCTTAGACAATCTCTGTATCACTCAGAAATGCTCTCAGTGGTGATTTTACATTTACAGCAAGGCCAGAGTAACTCAGATAAAGCAAAATTAAAAATAACACAAATCACTAAAAATCAGACTGCAACAACACAGCATGAAGGTGAACTAGGGAAAGGAACAATCCAAGTTACCCATGATTGCAGACATTCCTAGCTAATGCTGACCTGGTTTGGTAAGTGCCTGCAACACATCACAGCTCAAAAGCTCATGCCCTGCTTCTGGACCCAAGCTGGCCCAGACAGCTGAAATGCCTCTGCATTTAGTGACACTAGACTCAACTAAGATCTTTATCAACATGTCACAATGGTAGATCAAATGTTCTGTGACATACGTTGTGAAATATGTTCCTACACTTATCTGTAGGAAACAGGCTTACAGCCTTTATCAAGAAATTAAATTGGATTTATCAACAAGACAATATTGATAAAAATAAAAGTTATTGCCAATTATTGACTTATTTACTACCTGGCTAAGTATCAGCTTTTGTACTGTTGTACTTGGGACTGGTGTCACGTTAACCATAACACAGCTAGCTGGGTCATCCTGTTTGCTCTGTTTATTTAATTTTCTTTCCTTAAACATTGGCACAATGCTGTGAGTCTTCTGAAATTTCACTGAGACACCAGGAGTTATTGCAAATGAGATCTCTCTTGACAGTTCTTTTAGAGCTCTTTAGTATAGGTTATCTGAGCCTGCTGCTTTAAAATTATTAATGTTACTTATGAAGATGAACCTCATCTTTAATTCCTTGCGGACTGAAAAGGATTTCATCATCCTTCTGTAATACAAATATCTTATCCTGCATATATTTCAATACTAAGCATAATTAACAAAACTTGCCCACTGCATCTTGGGCATTGCAAGGCAACAGAACTGCAAGGCTTTCTTTGTCAGGTTACTCAGTTGTTTTCACCTTCAGTTTAGTTGTGTCAGCCACAATTTCCTGTAGTACCTTTAGAGTCCTTATTCTATTTTTGTAGTTCAGAATTCTCCCTGGATATTGATTGCAGTATGGCTTTTTTTAAAAAAATAATATGCAGCAGTACTGATGACATTTTCAACTTCTATTGCATTTTTCATGGGCAGGTTTTGCTCAGAGCATTTTATAAATATTCATTAATCTTCAAAATATACCTGAGAGGAAAATAAGTAATGAGAAGCAAACTGAGTCAGTCAGAGAGAGTCAGGGAGAAACTTATCTGATCATTGCAAGTATTGCAGAACTAGGACTAGCATGGACAAGTTCTGTTTCAGAGTCTTATTTCACACTGCAAATGGAGTTGTGCTTTGTAAGGTTATCCTTCAGCAAAAGTTATTATGCAAAAGTTATAAAGGAGATTTTATTAAATTAAATATTGCAAAAATCTGAGCATCTGAAGAGTACAAGTTATTAAACAATGTGTTTCCATGCACCTTGAATGATAATGGAATTATAAAAGTAATTTTAAGATTATTTAAGAAAAATCATACCAAAACAGGCTAATTTCCCTTGCTGAGAGACAACCAGCCTGCAGAATACAGGAAAGCTGTAGAGGAGATATGCCTTTTTAAGGGGTTTGGTAACATTTGATGTGACATTCTGATAAGCAAACTGAGAAAATCAAAGTGCAAATGAAATGTGAGGTGTGCACAACTGGTTAAAAATATATTAAAATAATACTATGAGTCTGTTGTCATTAAATTTGGACACTTCTCATGTTAGGAATCCCAAAGAGTCTGTTCTGATTCTGGTCAACACTTTTGTTTACTCAGACAATGAAGCAAAGACTTTGCAAGCACTTTGAAGGACAAAATTAGAATAAAAACTATCTTTCTAACCAGAGAAATAGACCAAGACCCCAAAGGTAAAATTCTGAAAAGGGAGATGAAAAATACTTGCACCGAGTAAAGGTAAATTGATGGCAGGAAATAAATGGCAAGGGAACAGCAGAGCAGCCAAGGAGCTGGGACAAGTAGTAACAACCTGTACCATTTACAGCTGAAATGTTACTCTGGGGATGTTTTAATCTTTTAAGGCTGCAGTATGTGTAGAGCCCTGGATGTCCTGACTCAGAAAGCAAGCAGATGCAGGACCTGCAGACATCCTACTAACAGTTACTCACCAAGTTCATGACGACTCTTACATTCCACAGAGGCGCTGCTTCTGGAATGACCCCACTGCACACACAGGCTGTGGAATGTGGTGGGTATCAGGCAAAGTTTAACTCTAACCATCTTCTCAATGAAATCAATTCACAACCTTGGGCAACACAAGTACAATACCTTTTGGGAGAGCAAACGTGCTCCTGGTACATACCTAATGACTATATAAAATAAAGGTCATAAAATTAGCTGAATTTATGCACATTCCCTGGTTATTTTTTCTGTTCAAAAGGTTTGCATAACTTGGGAGTTATTTTAAAAAATGCCACATGCTCTAGACAGCTCATGGGTCTGTTGTGTGTTTACTCTGCTTCATCATCCAAGGGAAAACAGCAATTTAGAAGAGTTAAATAAAGAGTCCAAAAAGCATTAGTATTTGGATTACAATTTGAAACATTGCCAAACTTTACTAATGGCAAGTCTAAAAGTCCCACGTGCCTGAAGGCTGATAATTCTCAAGCACAACTCATTTTTCCTTTTGGCAAAAAAGACCTGTGCCTTTGATAAAGTGCTCACCTTAGTGAGCAGGTCTAATTCAGTGTGAAGCTGCAGAACAACTCTAGACAGCAGTGAAGAAAGCTTAGCTATGAAATCAATCATCTGCTTCAGATAAGTGTGAAGACACAGTGAGGATGAGACCCCAACAATCTGTCCGCTTTCAACATCTCCAAGAAAATATTGCAGTGCTCCTGTACTACTGAGATGTGACTTCTCAGAGAAATGAAGGATGGGAACTCTCTCTGCTACACAGTTTTGCTTCCCTTTAGCTACTAAAAGAATAACTCTTCTGCCTCTGTTTTGATAGCCAACTGCTATCTGAGCCTTCTTTTGGCCTCCTTCCTTGGAAATGCAGTGAGCTCTCTGTGGAGTTTGCCTTGGTTCCCCTCTCAGACAGCTGTGATTAATTCAATGTTCAAGCTCTTGAGTTAATTCTCTCATTAGATCACTTTCCTTCTTCATGGAATGATTATTCCCACAGGAGAAATGAGAAATACTAAAACAAGTGTCTTAGAATCTGACACACTACATCCAGGATGTTTACTTTAAACTAAATTGCCTGGAATTGCTCCAGATCTGTGGCTTAAACACAAGAACCTTCTAACTGGTGTGGAACTGTAGCCATGCATGTTGCACAACATTCCCAGTTTCACTGGAATTCCTCCAAACTTTCTGCTAGGTAACTGTACCCAGAACATGAACCTCTCCACTCGAGTAGGTCAAATGACACAACCCTTTCATCGCGAGGGAATGCTTTTAGACTGAAAAAGTTTTTTGCTTTTTTTATTACTTTTTATCATACACCCATCACCTGCCTACACTACTGTGCAGGTGAAGCCTGGAGCACACAGCAGTGAAATATTGCCCATGCTCCTGAAATCACAAGCCCTTATCAGTGTATTATTCACTGGGAATGTCACATTCCCTCTGGAAGCTCTTGCAGCTCAGACACACTCCCCATTGTTCCTGCCTACCAAATGGCTCCCCAGGCACAGCTGGTCATTGGAGGGTTCCACTCCAGTCAGCTGGACTCCAGCACAGCCTACTTCTCAGCACCTTTGGGTACAACATGAAGGAGTTTCTCAATACCCAGTTCAAGAATGCTGAACTTGTCTGGACTGACAAGTCTGGTATCAAGCAGTTACCTTAAAATCATCCTTACCTGAAGCCATATTACAGTGAAAGTGATAAAAATACTTAATTACAAATTCCTAAATAGATAAAAAAAGTTCACAAAGGCTTCTAAAGATGAAGAGGGGAGGGAAAAAGAAGAGAAATAATCACTCAGCATGGCACTTCCATGAGCTCTACCGTCTCCCCAGTCATTAACAGTTAAGCTGACAGACACACTGAGCCATCACCATCTTGCTGGTAGCCCTATATCCTGGGGCTGCCTGTGCAGAAACAATAGCTTTGGGTACCCCTCTTGCTCTCCATCTTTGCATCAATTCCAGTTCAGACTTCCACCCTACACACACACACATAATCACCAGGATTTATTAACCCTCATGGAAATGAAGGCAATAGCTGCTGAGCTTGGTCCAGACCTGCCAAAAGAGAGTGTTCTCATGCCCGGCTTAAGTCTGGAAAATGTGTTTTCTCACTGTGAAGCAGAATGCCTTTACCTGCTGAGCTGGGAAACATTCAGACCTGAAAGGAAGCTTCTTCATCCACTAAAGCTTATGTATCAACATAAAAAGCAAGTATCAGCTAAAGTATCACGTAAGCTGACAATAGGTTTATGCAGGTATGTAATTAGACTCTAGTGCCTGTAGCTCATTAGAGATTTTTGACCGAGTAGTAAACATGATAACCAGTCCCATTGGGGTGATAATGGCTTAACCACCATTGCCTTTGAGTAGTACCTTGAAAGTAGCCAGGGAGCCTCTTCTCTACTCCATGTTTCACGAGTGGGAACTCCAGCAGCCTCTCTCATCTGACTCCTACTAAGGGCTACAAATTCATCATGCAGTACACAACACCACCGCTCCACTAACCTGTGCATCAACAGAGACTGCTGATCTGCATCATTGCCTTGGGCATGGAATGGCATCCAGAGTAAATGGGACACCTGGGCAAACGTAGGCCTGAGCAGAGAGAAGATGCCTTGGAAGTGTAAGAAATGTAGCTTTGTGCACTAAAGATATTTCTCATCCTCATAAACTCTTGGTAGATCTGTACTTCTACAATTTTGCCTTCCCTAGGAGAAGTTTGGTTTCAAGTCCTTGTTATGGAAATGGAGCAAAGATAGTCGTATCCTATGAAGGTTTTGTGACCTTTCCATTTTGGTGAGGCTGTCCAACACCTCTCATCTGATAGGTCAAGTGCATTAAAATAAAAGTAGTAACTACAAAAGGTAATTAGTAATTAAAATGGCAACTGACCATACCACTGAAAGATTCTAGCAGATGCCTTTGCACAAAGGACAAAGAGCAGACAGAGATGCACAACAGTTTGGAACGCAAAGTGAAGATTTCAAACCCATTGAAACTAGGGGAGAAATTTGACCTGGCACATTCTGGTTCAATTCCATGGAAAGTGGCTACCTACCAAAAAACATCCCATGGGGTTTGTCATACCTACAGATAATCAAGGCCTGAGTTTCACATCTCCTCTCAAAGAGAAAATGTTAGTAACTGAGTATGGTAAGGACGCTGCTTGAATACTAAGTCAAAATGGTCCTCAAAGATATAGGTGTGACAGAGTAGAGGCAGAAAGGCAAAGCAGCACTTTCAAATAAATTATTTATCTTTTAGCTTTTTTGTGACTAAAAGCCCTTCACTTTTATAGAGTTCAGAAAAAGGAAAAAAAAAATCAAACAGAAAAAAGCACCTTAGACCTAACAAAGATCTTCCTGTAACAAAGGAAGACTACAATACCTTTTAGCCACCCATTTTTCATTTTTGTTTAGTTTCCAAATGCATCATGCTGTAGAAACATCACCATCTGCAGGATTTGAGAGAATGAGCACATACAACTTACTCAGCTCAGCAGAACGTCTTCCAGGCATCTGGAAAGGTTTTCCTGATAAGCGTTCAGACAGGGAAATCTGAGCAGCCGTTGGCATCTGTGGGATAACACAGAGAGAGGACTGCAATGCTTCATGGCAGTCTGGCACAGAACAGGAGGTTTTCAAGAGAAAGCCTGAATACCTTGTTTGTGAGATTCTTCTCACTGAGGGGTTTTGGTAGTGACAGCAGTGTTTCTGTGCAGGCAGGAGCAGTGGACACCGAGGAGCACAGGGCATGCCTTTTTTGTCACCTGCCCTAAGTATCAGACAGCACTCAGCTGGCTTATTGGCAAATACCATATTAGGAGCATATTCAATTAAAATTGAAGACATGTTTAATTCCTTCACTGCAATGACTTGTCATTCTTGATGTTAGTGAATCAACGGGCTCCTCATTACAGTGCAATTTCACACTGTCAAATGTACTTTGAGGCTTATTCATGAAAATCTACTTGTTTTGGGAGATGAACAATAGTAGATGGCAGGATGAGCTTCATCTTGTACCGATTTTGTGTGGCTACAGAAGAAACATGCTGAAGCAGTGCCCTCTTCTGGAGGCAGAACCGTTCAACCACATTAATACAGTATAGGACGGGCCTTCAGGGCAAAATTAGCAGTATCAGCAACGCTATTTTCTGTCTGTAAATTTGGCACTACGGTGTGAAATCCTAGTACTGGCCAAGTGTCCAGCAGCTGACATCAGCCAGAGCCTGAGCCACTGGCATTTAGGAGAATTCTAAGCCTTTTACTCACAGGCCACTTCCGATGAATAAAATGTCAGTGTGAGAGGGGTCTGGTTTCTTTTACTGATTCATCAGTGAAAGAAAACTCTCAGCGCATTTATCAGCCTAGCTTAAAATTTATACCATGTTATATCAGCATGCATCCAACTGTATGTGCTTGCAGAAACCTTATTTTTCTATCTAGATTTATATTTTCTATGGGTATTTTTTCAAGACCAGTTTGAAAGGTAATTTTACTGCTCTACCGTCAGGAATGAAATGCTGATGAATGAAGAAACAAAGAGTCCCCAGAGAGTGTCACAATTCAGATTCCTCCTAGGAGCACATTTAGAAGTTATTACAATGAAACGCAGAATCATGAGAAAAGCCTGAGGGGCCATGACCATTGTAACTGTGAGCAGACATGTTTCTCTTTCCCAGTCTCACAGTAAATAGACATGGAAGCATTCCAAGAGGCTCCCTGACTGCTTTTTTGCTTTGGCTGCATGTCATGTTGCTGGAACAGCTGTGGAAAACTCGGGAGGGATGCTCTTCTCTCAGAACCAGTGCCAGCCCTGCCGGACCAAGTGACCACGTGCATGTAACTCGGTACGTGACGCTCAGCCCTCAGCGCCCAGGCATGCAGGGACTCAGGGACTCACACAGCCTCAGACGGGAGCTCGTCTCGCCTCAGGGTCGGCGCTGACCCCGGCGGCCCACATGGTACCAGTGCACTGTGATTGACATCTGTGCCGGGATGAAGGCCCCAATACGGCATGAGGCTGTGAGGGGCTGCGTGGGCCGGCCCTGCTGCCACAGTCCTGAGGCAACACCAGGCAGCCCCTCTCCGCTGCCATCCCCGGGGCTGCCCCACGCGGGTGGCGGCCGTCGTGTCTCCCCAGCACT